AATTAGGGTGCTCCGGGAGTAGGGTCCCTCCCGGGGGTGGGAGGGCCGTAGCCCCGCGGTGACCCCACTGTGGCCAAGGGCAGGGCACGGCTGATCCTTAGCCCTCGGTGTCCCCAGGGGCAGGAGTTTCCAGGGCCCTGTTTACATACCCGGGCAATGCAAACATTTACCCTGGGCTGGCTCCAAGGGAAATATTCGTGGTGAGGTGTAAATTCCCTGAAATCACGCCAAAAAAAAAGAAAAGCTTGATGGGAGAATTAGCTGGCTGGAGGGGGGCTGCGGTTTGGGGTGGGGGCTGGCCTGGGACAGAGGGCAGGATGGGGTGGCAGCGAGTGAGCCCCAGGGGGACCATGGGTGCCAGCATGAGGTTTGGCTTTACTAGAAAGCAGGGCCAGCCCTGCCAGGGAGCTGTCACCGAGCCGGCTGCCGGAGAAACCACCAGGGAAGGGAAGTGGGGGCCGTGGGCTCGGGGGAGGCTGGGAGCAATCTCCATCCCATGTCCTTCGCCGTCAGGAACACCGTGTCCTGGAAAGGCTGACGTTGTCAGGCTCTGAGCGCAGCCTTGGCTGGCACAGGAGGGCTGGGGGTCGGCTATGTCCCCCAGGCACCCGGGGGACCCATGGAGGAGGGGAGCTGTGGGTCCCTCTGTCAATGGGCAGCATTTCCCAAAGCTTTAAAGCTGCACTGCTACTGGAGAACTGTCTTAGCCCTGCCCTGGCAGGGGTCCCCAGGCAGTTTGGGGTGTTCCCCCAGGTCCAGGTAAACCTCTGAGATGCTCAGCTGCTGCCTGGGGACTGCCCAGAGCCCAAGACAAGGCACAAACAGCTGGGCTGGGCACAGGGATGCTCCGGTCACCCCTCACGGATGCGGCCATGGGCAGTGCTACGCAGCTCCTTGCCAAAACTGGGGAGACTCTGGGAGCCAAAACCAGGGGCTCGTTCCTCCCTACCCAATTCCCTGGCTCTGGGAGGTTTGGGGCCACGGGGCCATGGGACTGCAGCTCCTGGCAGACACGGTGCTTGTACCTTGCTGCATCCTGCAGCTGACAGGGACTGGTGCACGCCTGGCATGGTGCCATGCTCTCCAGTATGGTGCCACCCTCCCCAGCACGGTGCCACCCTCCCCAGCAGTGTCACACTCCCCAGCATAGTGCCACCCTCCCCAGCACGGTGCCATGCTCCCCAGCATGGTGCCACCCTCCCAAGACAGCTCACACTGCTGACCCTGGCCAGGGCTTGAGCCACCACCTGGGACAGAGCTGGGACAGAGCTGGGACAGAGCTGGGAGCTGCTCAGAGCTGTGCTCCCCTTCCTGCTAGTGCCCGCCACAGGAACAGCCACCCACTTCTAATTATATCCCCTAATTGCCTTTTTGCCTTGGTGGCTTTCCCATGGTTAACAGGGACTTGTGGCCGGGGAGGAGCAAGTGCGGAACACGCAGCAGTGGCACAACGTGGTTGTGTCCCTTCTCTGTGTCTGTGCTCCCCACCACATGCAGAGAAAGGGTGAACCACTCCCAAACATTGTTTTCCTAAAGCCAAAATAAAAATAAGGGACCCATTTCTCCAAGTCCCCTCTCCTTGGGTCCTGGCACTGAATCGGCCTTGGTGGAGGTGGGGAACAGGGGATGATTTAAAGAGCCACAGTCGATGGACCCCATCTCTGCCACTGAGCTTCCATGGGACTCTGGGCATGTCACCCAGTGTCCCTGCTGTGCTGTGCCAGAGGCAGCACAGGAGAGCCGAGGGTGCCGGAGGTTCCAGAAAGACCATCTGAGGGCAGCGTACTGCTCCACCCTGCCGATCAGGGTCCCCCACCCCAAATGGCAGGCATGCTGGTTGGGCTGACCCTCTCACGAACCTCCCTCCTCGGCTGTTTTTCCACCAGAGCCGGTCTGGAGCTGGCCCCTGCCTGCTGCAGATGTTTGGCCGGAGTCTGGGGGCGGGAAGCCAGGTGCTTCCAGTCCCCCGGCTGCCACACTGCCGCTGTCACCAGCTTCCCCAGCTGTCCCTGAGCCATGGGCCAGGGGCTGCAGAGACCTGGTGCCAGGCTGCAAGGGCCATGGTGAGCACAGGGAACATGAAACCAGTGGTGGGGGCCCCATACTGCTGCTGGCTGGGCTCATCCCAGAGCTGAGCGAGGAGCTGCTTCCATGCAGAGTGATGGGGACGGTGCCAGCAGCGTGCTGGGTACAGCAGCAAGGGGCTGGGCAGCAGCAGGCAGCATCCTCCTGGCTGGCAGCAGCGCTGCTTTCCCTCTGGCAGCCTGGCATGGCATCCATCCCGGGGCAACCTCTGAACTTTTGTTCTAGGTGTGCAACAGGAGAAAGTAAAACAAACTCTGCCGGGTGAGAGGCCCCAGCTCCCCCAGTGTCAGGCTTCCCCCACGCTGCTGCCCCTCCGCAGCTCGCCCAGCCCTGGCCACCCTGCCCCAGCCAGCGTGGCTCCTGCAGGTGCCGGCTTATGGCTGCGGCCACTGCCCCCTCCGTCATCCCCATCCCTTCCTCTCCCAGGCAAAGATTTGCCCCCTGCAGAGATGCCCCTGGCCCGTTGCCCCCCACCCAAAGGGGACAGTGGCACACAGTGACACACTGCTGCCAACAAGCCCACCGGCCATGATGTTTGCGATGTGCTCCTGGAGACCCCACCGCAGTCTGGAGCACAGAGGGTGGTTTGGGACCCCGTAAGCCTCCCTCTGGGGCCATGGGGCTGGTGTTTGGGTCCTCTATCAGCACTTGCTCCAGGCAACGCTTCCCCTGCAGCGCCCAAGATGTTCCGGGTTGCCTCCCACTGCACAATTGCCACTGGGGCTCCCCACAACCTTCCTGACGAGCCACAGGGTCCGCGATGGCCCGTCCAGCAGGGATAAGGCAACCGAGCCGGGTGCTTACATCCCCGGCATGGCTCTCATCGCTGCCCAGAGGTGAGGTGAGAGCCAGCGGCCTGCCTCACCTCCTCCCTGCTGGGGCTGCCGGCATTCGCCTCCCCCGGCAGCAGCCCCTTGGGCCGGCAGCCAGCTCCCGCACCCGCCGGCGCTGGCAGGGAAGCGTCCCGGTGGATGCTGAATCACCTCGGTGTTCGCATCACGCCTGCCTGCTGAAGCGTCGCCGCTGCAGGACCCGACCCCCAGCGGGCAGGAAAAGGCATTTTTTCCTTGGCAAAAATGCTGTGCAAATGCTGCCTGAGCTCCAGCATTGCTCCAGGGCGTGGGGGGATTTGCTTCCCTTGCTCAGTTCTGGAGGAGGAATTTCCAGCTCGACAGTGCACATCAGTCTAAATCCCACCCCCCCCACCCCCCCCATTTTCCTGCTTTAAAAATGTGAAACTTCCCAGAAAACTCCTACCAAGAAAGGAAACCTCTCGCACACCCCAGCTGCTGGTGACAAGGGGCACGGGGAGGTGGGAACAGCCACCGGGCATGGCTGCAGGAACGGGGTGGGGGGGTTGCATGCTTTCCCTCAGGTGTTTTGCTCCAAACCAGGCTTCCTTCTCAAATCACCCCAGTATTTGTGGCTCCTCCCCTATTCCTCTTACAGCAAAGCTGCTCAGCTCTGGTTCCTGGTGCCAGATGCCGCTAGCCATCCCCACACCCGATGGTGTCCCCAGGGAAGGGACAGGAAGGGACGCCTGGGTGGAGCACATAAGGGAGGCAGAGCTGGGGCTGCTCCCACCCAGCACAGCCATAATCTCCTCCAGCTGCCTCTGCAGCCTGCCAGCGACGGGAGGAGAGAGAGGGAACAACAGGAAAAGAACTCTGGTTATTTGCCTCAAATTCTGCAACCCGAGAGGGGAGAGAGAGAAAGACAACAGCTCGAAAAAAATTTGGTTTTGGGCCGGACAGGGAAATACGTGTCCACTCCCTCCCCAGCACAACCGCAGCCCACAGCTCCAGCGCAGGCGCTTCCGCTCCCCAGGGGCTCTGTCCCCGTGCTGGGCTCCCTCCCCGGGGAGGGAGGCGTTCACGCAAGGTCCTGCTTCTCTGGGAATTGCCTGCCCCTCTGGCCCCAACACCAAAAGCAAACCCAATGCTGTCTGTCACGGATCAAGCCGCATGGGGGTGGGACGCAAGGTTTCCAACACCGTGGGGCTGGTTGCTCTTTCCAGCTGATAAAAGGGGATTTAGACAATTCCCACCAGCATCACCATAGCATTTCCCCACATCCCAGACTGATTCATCTCATTATTCGTGACCTTTCTTGCCGTGAGTCACCAGGACACCGTGTTGGCCCACAGACTCCTGCCACATGCCAGAGCCCAGCGTGAGGCTGGCGGGGGGGGAACGATGCCGGTTGCCCCAGTGAGAGAAAATCAGCCACCGCTGCTGCCAGAAAGCCCCTTCCCACCCGCTGCCGCTGTTGCAGCCAGATTCAGGTTTGCACCCCCGGAGCGCGGGGCCGGGCTGGCAGTGTGCTGCCCGCAGGGCTGCACTTGCTGGGCTCAAAGTCCGGGCAAGGATCCCGAGGAGCCAAGGCGGTGCAGGAGGTCAGCGCAGGGAGGATTTCTGGAGAGGCTGCAAAGTCTCTCAGATCCTGCGCACAGGCACCCGGACACCATCCGTGGTATGGACAAAGCCACATGACACACTCGTGTAGAATAAAGTTTTTATTTCATAGCAAGGGGCAATGTAAGAGCTCACAGGGTCCCTTGCCACTGCCTGGGCACAAGCTCCTCTGCTCCTCCCACTTTGCCTGCCCAGGCAAGGGGTGCACAGACCCCCCCAATGGGGACAGTGTGCCGGGCAATTGGTGGGGGCCCTCGCCATCAGCAGGAGCACCAAGCGCAGCTGGCGTGCAGGCAGGAGGAGCTACGCATGCTCCTCTGCCCCGCAAGACCCAGAGGAACCAAGCACCCCATAGGGTTTTCCTACAATTTCAGCAGGTATCTGGTAGAGGAGAAGCTGATGCTGCCAGCTGCACGTCTGCTGTGCAGCCAGGACAGGCTCTGCCACCGATGCTTTTAGCCGAGTCTCCGAATGAACAACCAGAAGCCGCATCCACCTTGCTTTGACCCTTCTTTCCCAACCACCCTGACAGCTGGGACTCCAAAGAAGAAATAACCTTGCTGGGCATTTCCATGCCTTCCTGCCTGCCTGGGAGGAGACGGGGTAGCCAGCAAAGGTGAGACCAGCCTGCCTGCCTCATGGGAGCAAGTTGTTTCCAGCTGGACACGTCCACAGTCACACATCTCCTCACTGGTGCCCAGGCCTCAGTCTCCCTGATGGTTCCCATGAGCTCGGTGGGTAAACAGGAGGCAGTGGGTTCACCTGGCAAGAGCCAGGTACAGGCATCCGGTTGCTGGCCCACCCCAGCTCCTGCCCATCTCTCCCCAGCTCTCAGGGTGCCCCATCAGGCTCTGCGGGGTCCCCAGCACAGGGTCCCATGGCTGTGGGCCCCTGCCCAGCAAGCCGGCCGTCCTTTGTCGCCTTTCCCGCAGCCTCACACGATGCCGTTGCGTGTGGGGTGAGTCCGTACCCGGTAGATGATGACGGCAGTGGCTGGGCAGAGCACCAGGGCTGTCATGACGAGGATGGTGGCCAGGATGATCAAGACGATGACCCAGACGTCCAGGATGTGCTTGGGGAGGGCAGCAGGACCTGTGGGGCCAGGGAGGTCCATCCTGCAAGGGAAAGGCAGAGGAGTGATGGGGCAGCCTCCTCCGTCCCTCTCACAGCCAGAACCCCCCCAACGCTCTGAGCAACCCCTACCCTCTCCAGGAACAGCCCTGCGGTCACATCCAGCCTTGGCCTTGGGTTCCTTTGGGAGCAAAGGGTAAAGGCTCCATCAGCAAGCCCCAGGATTTATAGCGTGCTTTGATGCAGCTAGATAAAAGCCCAGGGAAAAACTTCCCTCTTAATTGCTACCACTGTTAAAGGAGCTGACAAAGCAAAGCCGCAAACAGGCGTCCCGCTGGTCACTCACGAGTCGGTCATTGGATGGGGAAACGGTGGGACCAGGGCGGCC